TTAGAACTATTTAGACCATAAATTAGGATTGCTGCACTATTTTAAACTGGTTTTTGAAGTTACTTTTGCGTATTTTTTAAATATGTTTTGGATTCGTTTATTTTAATGTATTAAAAGTTAATATAACGCTTAGAAAGAGGACAGATTATTGCACTAAATATTCACACATCTAATGAGTGTAAGAAATATTGCTTCCGTGGTTGGTGTTGAAAAATAGAGCGTTTCTCTAATTCTGAGGGGAGGTAATAATACTGGATCATTTTCTCCGGAACGCAAGGGCAAACGTAAAAGGAAAACAATTCCCAAATCTGGATCACTTTTAATATACTGCCTTAAGGTTTTGCACGCATTTCAAGATACACGTATATATACGTTCTAACAGGCATAACAAAAGTATTCTAGGCCGTATATATACGGCCTTGCCGGCTACAGGGTTAATTCACCAAAAACTAGCAAAGATCATAAAATACTTATTGTCTATTGGTGTTAATATTCATACGTCAAATGTTGGGCATAGATTTCTCACTGCTGGTTCAAAGGCGAGAAAGATAACTAATAAAAACTTTTGTCATTCCAAATACAGCAAAAGCGATAATTGTGGGCCCCAAAAATACAAATCTTCATTCAGCGATGAACACTCGGTCTTTTGTGCATGGTTACAAATGTAAGATTGTTAGACAAAGCAAGAGTGAATCTAGAAAATCTCAGCATATTCAACAAACCGTAAAATACCCTCAAAAACAAATGTTTGGGGTTTTTTTCACAGCAGATGAATCTGGAAGCCTAGTTCCTATTCATGTAATGATGAATTTATTGAAGTATATATACAGAAATTTTTAAATGTAGGATTGCGCAATTATGCAAAACCTTTGCAGTGACATTTCAACATGAATGGTTTCATGCCACACATTGAAATCTGTCAGAAAGTTCATTTTATGAAATGCCCACCAGCAGCCGAGCGGTATAGTAGCTGAACACTGGTAGCTCGGTCCGAGGTTCGAATCCCGCGAACGGGCTGGCTGCATGGGCGTTTTCGTGGTTTTCCCCATGTGTAACGTGTATACGAGCCAGTTTCCCTTAGAAAGTCCTCCACGAAGGCATCCCTCCCCTTAGGCAGATAGCCCTCGAGGCTTTGCCATAATCACACATACACATTTTATGAAATAAATTATTGCACTAGATTGGCCTGGAATTTCAAAATTCATCAGACTTAAATCCGATCAAAAACTTATAGTGCAATTCTACAGGAACATCTTATCAAAATGGATTGTACGACAAAACAGCGCATGATTAAGAATGATATAAAAGTGTGGTTCCATGATAAAGAAGTAAAAATATTCACAATACCAGTAAAGCCAATGCCTAAGCAAATCTAGAGGTCATTTTTGATAAATAAGGTCATAGTTCCCATTAATTTTATTATTATCAGAGTATATGAAAGTACGTACATAAATTTTAGAAAAAACTCATTTTGTTCCAATTAATTTGCACATTATATTAAGTAGAAAAATGCAAATATTAACTTCTCCCATCTTGTCTGTTAGTGCGTCCAATAATGTTAATAGACCACCTGCCTTGACCAAAGGAGCGAGACAACTAAATGAAGAATCTCATCATCCCACATCATTTACTGACAAGATTCTGCTGCTAAGCCAAAATTAAGAAATCCGAGACTTCAGCTATGCGAACTGAACGCCACCAGAATTACTTTCAAAAACTTGGCAAGACTCAGAACTGGCCATTTCAGAAGGGTGTTTTCATTAAAATTCCCTTATAAGCACCTTTAAAGAAATTATACTTCGATGTAACAAATTTATATATAAATTGTTTCCCCTTCAAAAAAACATTTTAATAACGCAGAAATCGTAAGTTATGAATTAAAATATAAAAAACGTTGAAGTAAATGAAATAAGGTTCTTTCATAAGCAAACTATCAAGCTGCGACAGAAATCTTATAGCAAAACAGTGAAATTATCTTCAGAACTGTACCTAAACTGAGAAGACTTAGGTAAGAAATCAGAACTGCACCTAAAATGAGAAGACTTAGGTATGTAACTTAGGTAAGAAATCATACAAAGTGTAAAACAGCTCACAAATTAAATATTACAGTGAAACTGATGACAGGTAATTAGGAATCCCATTTTGAGATTTATTTAAGGCGTTAAAATCCGTCAGTTTCGAATATATATTATCAGTCATTATGAACATCACAAAGGATGTAAGAATTGTAAGATTAACATACAGTATAACTCTAACATTTCGGATCATTTCTTTTGTTTTCTAAATTGCATAAATTAAACTCCTTTTCAGTTTATTTTATAAGCTTTTAATTACTTTATAAGGTATTTTTTCCTCCCTTTCCAAATGCGTTAGTGATGTAATTGGAAGCATACTCGAGGGCATTGCACATTTTCACGTCTCCTGCTTCAAAATAACCTAATGACTCTATAAGTGGCTGCCGAACTTTTTATAATATATAACCTAATGACTCTATAAGTGGCTGCCGAACTTTTTATAATATATAACCTAATGACTCTATAAGTGGCTGCCGAACTTTTTATAATATGAAATTATAAAATTAAAAGGTGATTGTTGATAATTTATCACCACCAAGATTTGGCAATGGAGGTCTCCTCATTCCCAGTTACCCTTTAAAAGGGAGAGTATGTGTGGTATTTTCTCCCTCCTTTCCGCATGCCTTCGTGGTGTAACTGGAAGCATACACGACGCGTATTCGGGAGGTCCGAAGTTCGAATCCCGGCAAGGGCACTAGACATTTTTCTCATCTCCTGCTTAAAAGTAACTTAATGACTCTACAATTTTAAGATAAATATTTTAAGAAGACTACAATAATAAAAAAATTGCATAATTTTTATTTAAATTTATTTAAATAATATTAATAAATTTATAATATAAATTTTTTATAATATAAAATTAATAAAATTAATTTATTAATAAATTTATAATATAAAATTTTAATTTTTATTAAATATTTTAAAAGACTACAATAATAAAAAAATTCATAATTTTAAGAAGCTTTTAAATTATGAATTTAATTGTATGTGATATGTAAATTGAGCTGTAATATTCAACAAATGTACAATTAGTAAACATTAATAAAATCTGCAAGGAAATATTGCAGTTTCCTCTGCGAGCTGTTACTATGCAGGTGGTTAACCCATTCAGCTGTCGAGTAGGTTCGAATCCGGGCGGGAGCACAAGTTTTTCACTTTTCTATCTGCGAAAAAATAGCCCCCGACAAAGTAACTGTGTACTCCTCACTTGCTTATTTATTGAGACTGGAAAAGCTCTAAAAGTTATCTTTTATTAAAATGATGTTAAACAAACCTCATAACATTCAGATAATTAAATCTCCATGCAAGGGACATTTGTTTAATAATTTGCAGTCAATTATTTCTGTATTTTGATGAGCATCGCGTTAACTGCTATGTGTGATCCTTGGTCCTTAAGATAAAAAATATTTTTTAACCTTCACTGCAATAGTTTTAACTGCACAATTATGTTTCAATAATTCAAATAGTTCACTCACAAATTAGTAGTAATTCACAAATTAGCAGTATTTGAATTAGTCGAAAATGTAAAACTCTCATGCTTTCAGAATTATAAAAACATATTTGCGCTGAAAAAAGGGGAAACAAATTATCCGGATCTTCTTAATATACGGTCTCATTCAATTTCAATGTTTGGAATTCTACAGTACAGTAAGACCCCGCTTAACGCGGGGGATACGTTCCATCGAAGTAGAGCGTAATGCGAAACAGCGCTAAGCGAGGCTATCTTAACATGTAAATAATGGGGTTAGGGGAAGACGGATAAAAAAAAATGGTTAGGCATTAAATTTAATAATTTTTTTTTTAAAAAAAATAAATCAAACATTTATTTCTTACAAAAATAACAACAATATAAACGCATATACTTTTAAAAACAAATAAAATTCTCAGTCAGATCATTCAGTCTATTCTGGGTTTCCAATTTTCTGTCTTTTTGTTAAGAAGGCATTATGATAGATTGGCTTAATGGCATATTGCGTTCAATTTCGTCGTCAATCCATATAGACAGTCGTTTTTCCATTTCCTCTATAATGTTATTTCTAGAACGGGTAATTCTAGTTGCAGAGCTTGACGTAGTTACAGTTGCCGATGACAGTATTTTTTTCTTTATTCTTAAGAATTGTCCTTATTGTTGAAGTTGCCAAAATCAATGCAGCGCTAATTTGAGATTGACGTTCACCAGAATCTAATCTTCTAATCACTTGCATTTGAGTTTCCAGTGAAATGCTTTTTCTGGTTGCTTTCTTTTCTTGTTTTTTATTATCACCCATGATAAAATAAAGATCATAATATTTGTCACTATATTAATCGTTATAGTATTATACAAATTTAAACTTACAATAATGTCAACAAATGTTTCAAATGATAAAAATGCGTCCACCAAGCAAGAAACACAACTACACTGTTTCGGATATGTTATTTGGAAACCTAGCGCTGCGCACAATTTCGGAGAATCCCCGGGTTGAAATAAAAGAGCGCTAAACCGAAACAGCGCGAAACGAAACAGCGTTAAGCGGGGTCTTACTGTATGTGCAATCAGCTGCAAGAAGAATGACATTAAAGGTAGCATCAAAGCAAATGAAATACAACAAATATTCCAAATAAGTAACTATATATTCCAAGTAACAAGTAATATCATATTGCCTTATGACGAAGTTTGGTAACCTCACTCAATTTCGAAGCATATCTTCCAAGACGGAATGTAATTATACACTTCTTTACAACTTTAACAAAATCCAACAAATGTGTAAACAATAGTACGACGGACAGAAGCAGATTGTATCAATAAAAACTGCCGAAATAAGTATTATATCACGTTCCTTCAGATTCAAAAACCGCGCTCTAAGTAACTAAGTAATTACGGAATTTACAAGATCGCCAAAACAATACCTTAAGGCAGGAAATGTTACCATTAGAAAACAAACTCACCTGATTCATGATGCTGAAGTTTGTTTAAGACCGTTACCTCGATAACTTCCTTTTCGCTGCACAAAATACAAATAATGCTTGCGAGAGCCTCTGGGACAGGTTTTATAGCTTTACTCCAAAGCCGGTATGCCACATATCCAAGCCGGCCTTCCTTTCCACACCGGCACCGCCTATGTTCGTTTTGGTGACCCAATTTCGCGATAAGCATTCATTCCTATCTCTCTGTGAATATGTAATGTCTGATCATTGGAACATTGCAAGTTTGTTATGAAATAAAACAAAACAAATGCTGTTTCTTTCGCGTGGTTGCCTGCGGCTTGTTTATTTTTTGAGAGCGGGAAGGAAACGGTTCTGTTAAGATGGACAGCTTCGTGTCAAAGGATTGTATTTTGGGAATCTTCACATTTTTACCTATAACGAATGAGAAAGGAATTTCTTTTCAACACATTTCAGAGGTTAATGTGCTCGGATACGCGAGTGATTAGTACTTTCTTGAAGAAGTATTTTTATTTCCTCCATCTTCTGTAATAGTGGCCATCCGCTCAAGTATTTGGTGGGCCAGTCCAGCATTTGGTCATCTTCATTTTCCTCCAAAGAAGACTTCTACTACTCTCGTTTTGATTAATTTCCCCGCTTCCATTTTGTTGAAAAGAGAAGGAAATTCTTGAGTTTATTAAGCTTATTACTAATATGATTTATTTCTTTGCCATTTTTCTTAGCATTTATATCAAAGTTGATTAAGATCTTGATTTTTTGTTAGACCAATACTAAACATTCATTTAAACTTATTGTATTAATAGTGATTTACTCACAAATGTTCTGTTATATACGTTACTTGGAACGCTGTACTCACCTTTATACTGATTTAACAAAACTGTAAAAACATTTCTTAGACGTTTTGAAAAGTGCTAAATGCTCAACCAGAAGAGGTTACGTTAGGTTATTCGAATATGATAAAGCCACAAGGTCTATCTGCCTAAGAAGATGGAGGCATTCGTGGAGGACTTTCTCATTACACATCGGGAAACCACAAATAAATAAATAAATAAATAAATAAATAAAAAATAAAAATAACATTCGGCCAGCCCCTTCGATTGGGATCAAGCCAAGTCAAACTACCATTATTTGACGGTCTTAATCATTCGGCTATTGATGGAGTTAAATAAAAGAGAAAATTCATAAGAGAATTTAATATATGGCGGGAAAAATACCATATATACTCCTCTTTTTAAAGGACGATTGTTTTTCTTCTTCTTTTTTTTAGGGGACCCAATCGCCAAATCCTGGGTGTGGAGTAACCTCATGCAACATTCTTTTAGTTCGGGCGCCGCTGTCGAGACATTAGGTTAATCGGAAGCAGAAACGATGAAAAATTAGCAACCGCCTTAGCCGAGATTCGAACCACGGACCTCTGCAATACCGGCCTAGCGTGCAGAACCACTACACCAAGAAGGCACGCTAGGAAAGTGAGAGAAATACCTTATACCTTTATTTATTAAATATGTTTTTCGAACTTAAATTATAAAATTCAATTCAACAGTAATATGACAAAATAATTTTAAAATGAGCATGAGTTTAGAATTTTCGATACACAGTCTCGCGCGCTGGAGATAATTTTCTTTCGTACAGTGTTGCCATTTCTCGCTTTGAAATCGTTGAGTTTGTTAATCAAAAATTCGTTAAAGTTATACAACATATGAAATAGATAATGAAACAAATTCCAAATTTCAAATTTGGGCTTCCAGATGCCCATACTCGTTATTCAAAATACGTTATTCAAAATTGGATGGCTCTGTGTACAGTTGTTTTATCACAATGCGAGAAACATACATACATTTTTTGCAGATTCTTCATTATTTAATTTCTTTAAATATAATACAGGGCTATAATATTTGGTGGCAACAATTTGAAAAGTGAACCGACACTTATAGTGAATCCACGCAATATGCCAAAACGAAATTAATACCCCTTTTGGGCAAATTGCCCCTTTGGGCTAATAATGATTATTTGTGTAAAATCTCACATGTAAAATTATTTTATGTGTTATAGCCATGTGCTTTCAAAGTGTTTAATGTGCGAAACATTTTGTTAATGGTGGAAATTGAAAAAGAATTTTATTGTATGTTATTGTTTTAAATGGCCGGACATTTGCAACTGATGCACCAGTTGGGAATGGCCAATAGCCATCGAACATTTAATCAATTCATTATCGAGAGTCAAAGTGCACCACAGGAAGTGAACGCTATTACACCCGCGAAATAGAGAGGTTACGTTGCAGAGTTTGATGAAGAACATAACGGGAAAGATCTCAGGGTTTTTCCACCCCTCTTTCCCTGCTACCAAGGCTCTCGAAAGGACATTCGGTTAGCCAGTATTTTAAATGCCCCCCTTACTACATAGGTACTGTACACCAACAAACACCTAAGTCTTTTCCTGGGTTTTTAACACAGGCCCAATGATACAGACGTCTGCAGCTCTAAGCACTGGACCAATCAGTGCAGTATTTTATGAGTACTTATTCTTTTATTACCCTCCAAGTATTCTTCAACCAAATATTTAAAAATCCTTAATTCTACTTGATGAAATATTTCATAATTTAATTAATTAAATATTTATTGCTCGTTACATGATCTTTCGTCAAATATTTTATAAGATCTCCAACCAAATTAGTGTTCAATATTGCTTTTTATTACTTCGTACTTTACTTTATAAGCATTGTTTACTTTAAAGGATTCATGAGAGTTTTTTATACCATTCTCATAAACGTGTTTACTGATTATAACTGATCAATATTTAATCATATTTCAAAATATTTATAAAAATGAAGGAAACTGTGACATTTGTATATTTGAAAGGGTAAGCGTATATTAAACCCAAGGTTGCAACAATTATTTTAAGTTTTCTAAGAGTTAAACTTAATTTGAATATTGTCCTATTTTTCTTTGATTCTCGCGAGCATTTGCTCAGATCAGAAGATTATGTAAAATAAGAGCACACCAAACAGAGTTTGAAAACTAGAAGTTAATTGAAACTCATGCCTCTGGTAGTGAAAGACTCCCTTGCTGACCCAGCACTGTCTGTACTTGCTAATTTAGACTTACCAACAAACGACAGTACTGATGACTTGCTGATTTAAGGCTTACCAACAAACGACAGTACTGATGACTTGCTGATTTAAGGCTTACCAACAAACAACAGTACTGATGCCTTGCTGATTTAAGGCTTACCAACAAACGACAGTACTGATGACCTGCTGATTTAAGGCTTACCAACAAACGACAGTACTGATGACTTGCTGATTTAAGGCTTAGAAAGAAACGACAGTACTGATGACTTGCCGAATTAAGGCTTACAAGCAAACGACAGTACTGATGACTTGCTGATTTAAGGCTTGCCAGCAAACGACAGTACTGATGACTTGCTGATTTAAGGCTTACCAACAAACGACAGTACTGATGCCTTGCTGATTTAAGGCTTACCAACAAACAACAGTACTGATGCCTTGCTGATTTAAGGCTTACCAACAAACGACAGTACTGATGACCTGCTGATTTAAGGCTTACCAACAAACGACAGTACTGATGACTTGCTGATTTAAGGCTTACCAACAAACGACAGTACTGATGACTTGCCGAATTAAGGCTTACCAACAAACGACAGTACTGATGACTTGCTGATTTAAGGCTTAGAAAGAAACGACAGTACTGATGACTTGCCGAATTAAGGCTTACAAGCAAACGACAGTACTGATGACTTGCTGATTTAAGGCTTACCAACAAACGACAGTACTGATGACCTTACCAACAAACGACAGTACTGATGACCTTGCTGATTTAAGGCTTACCAACAAACGACAGTACTGATGACTTGCTGATTTAAGGCTTAGAAAGAAACGACTGTACTGATGACTTGCCGAATTAAGGCTTACCAACAAACGACAGTACTGATGACTTGCTGATTTAAGGCTTAGAAAGAAACGACAGTACTGATGACTTGCCGAATTAAGGCTTACAAGCAAACGACAGTACTGATGACTTGCTGATTTAAGGCTTACCAGCAAACGACAGTACTGATGACTTGCTGATTTAAGGCTTACCAACAGACGACAGTACTGATGCCTTGCTGATTTAAGGCTTACCAACAAACAACAGTACTGATACCTTGCTGATTTAAGGCTTACCAACAGACGACAGTACTGATGACCTGCTGATTTAAGGCTTACCAACAAATGACAATACTGATGACTTGTTGATTTAAGGCTTACCAACAAACGACAGTACTGATGACTTGCTGATTTAAGGCTTAGAAAGAAACGACTGTACTGATGACTTGCCGAATTAAGGCTTACAAGCAAACGACAGTACTGATGAGTTGCTGATTTAAGGCTTACCAGCAAACGACAGTACTGACGCCTTGCTGATTTAAGGCTTACCAACAAACGACAATACTGATGCCTTGCTGATTTAAGGCTTACCAACAAACGACAGTACTGATGACTTGCCAATTTAAGGCTTACCAACAAACGACAGTACTGGTGACTTTCTGATTTAAGGCTTACAAACAAACTGCAATAATTTGTGTTTGAAAAGAATCAGTGTTTGTCGAAAGCCTCAGAGATTCCAATTTGCTGTTTGAATTTGATAAGCATTCCTTAATATATATTAGCTGAAAGAACAACTAGGTGTTCTTGTGTGAAAGGATTGGTTTGGTTTATATGATTACGGCAAAGCCTCAAGGGCCATCTGCCTAAGGAAAGGGATGTCTTTGTGGAGGACTTTCTACGGGAAACTGGTTAATATAAATGTTAGTGATTGGGAAAGCCAGCAGCTTTACCGCTCAGCCGCTGGTGGGCCTTCGTGTGAAAAACTCTGATTTTGATAATCTTAATTCCAAGTTTCATCTAAGTTAAAAAAAAAAAAAAAAAAGTTATTCTTGAAAAGAAATTGACCTTTTAGTTTCTAAATTTTCATTTTAGTTACAACCTACAAGCAATGGACAAATAATTCAATTTCAAATCTGTCGAATTTCAAAAATTGTACTTGTGAGTCGAGTGTAGTCAGGTTGATAAAACTCACTGACAATTGCAAATAACTCTGAGTAAAATAATTTTACGAAAAGGTGCTTTCCAAAAGTAATTAAGCAGCCGGTGTACAATATT